CACAGAGATGTAAGAACTGACAAACAGTTACGTCGTCGCTTTCTTTCTTACCAAAAGTGTAAGGGAGTCTATGTATCTTACGTAGATTCTTTACCCACAGCCACGAGACTGACCCATCAAAGACTGAAACCTCCAAAACAGTGAGTCAAAAAGAAACCTTTTTCTTCTTTATAAGTTGGTTAACTCAGGTATTTTGTTATAGTTACAGACAGCTGACTAACACGCTGCTCTTTGGTTGATGAGTTGCTCACTTCTGCAGCTTCAGTACCTACCTACAGCAGTGCTTGGCAAATCAGTGCAGATTAATTTGTTGGATGATCTCACGTGGTGACAGTGCTCAGTGTGATGTAGCGTTTACCTGCCTGCAGGGCACAGTGAGGAGCTCTTATTTTTTCTTCCCACCATCTATCCATCCCTTTTCTGTTAACAACATCCTCAGTTTTCTCTAAAGAATCATCCCTCCGCCCCACTCCATGTGCACATGGATTAAGACAAGATGGATCTTCCTCCCCATGTGTCTGAAGTTAGAAAGACAGCCCAGCTATGAGGTCCATGAATGGTTTGCTGCCCACCATGACAGCATCCAGGTGGGCATGAGCCAATGGACCAATTTGAACCAGGAGTTCTGGGTGCTTCAGAGGAGAGCCAGGCCGATTGCAGAGCTAGAGCAGAGCGGGTCAGGGCTGAGGCAGAGAGAGGCCGGTCCGAGAAGCTCCTGTTTAGGGTCCTGGATCGGGTCCTGCCTGAACGTGGACTTTTAAGCTACACACGGATTGATCACTTTTCTCGGTTTGATGTGCTTTGAATTGGCTTTCTGTCAACTGTGACTGGACACTTCCTGACCAGTAGACTCTAATTTGACTTCACCTCCTCCATATCAATTGGAATTGTGCTCAGTGGTTAAACTTGAAAATGAGTAAAATCAGCCAAAGAGTCTGTTTTTGTCTTGGAGTAAGAATTTTGGAGGTAAGGAGTCCTGGCCTGTGACAGTGGGCCCATGATACTACTGGAGACTCGGGCTTCTCCGATTTTATTTGAAGCTGCCCCAAATATGCACTCGTTACCTCATGGGAATAAAGCAGCTGCTCAGCCTCCAGCATTGCATCCTGGTTCCAGGCAGGAAGAGACTGAAAGAAAAAAAGCCACCACACATGTGGTGACAAAGCCTGACCACCAACACCCCCCTTGGAGGACATTTAACAGAAAACACACGAAACTTAGTTTTGCAGGGAGGGTACCAGGAATTGAACCCAGGGGCTCTTAACCACTGAGCCACATCCCCAGTCCTTTTTATTTTTATTTAGAGACAGGGTCTCACTGAGTTGCTTAGGGCCTCACTAAGTTGCTGAGGCTGGCTTGAATTCTCGATCCTCCTGCCTCAGCCTCCCAAGCCACTGGGATGACAAGTGCGCGTCACCGCACTCAGCTCTACAAAACTTTTTTACTGTGGTGAAATACAAATAACATAAAATTTGCCATTTTCCCCCATTTTTAAGTGTATGAGTCAGTGGCGTGAGGGACGTTCACAGTGTTTTGTGAAGTTGGCCATTTTCCCTAAGATGTTTTCATAAACGTAATGGAAATTCTGTATCAGAGAAGCAATAGTTTCCCATTACCCTCTCTTCTCAGACTCTAATAACCTCCAATCTACCCTCCGTCTTTACATATTTTCCAGTTCTAGGAACCTCATGTAGGTGCAATCTTTGGTGTCTGGCATTTCTACTTAGCATACTAACGTCTTAAAGTTCCATCCATGTGGTAGCATATATCTGAGCTCCAGAACTCTTCATGGTTGCATAATATTCCATTGTATGTATATATCGCATTATGTTTCTCCATTCATCTGTCAATCATCACTTGGGTTGTTCCCACCTTTTAATTATTGTCCACACAACATATAATTTTAATTATATTTTATTGATCAGAATTTCATCACAGGTCTACCCTCCTTTTTAAAGAAGACTAAAAAAAAAAAATGCAACTTTCTTTCAACTCGACAAAAATGTCCCCCATTTCCACTGGAGTTTTATTAGTAAGAAGAAACAAAGAAAGACCCAGGCTAAGCCACGACGGGCGACTGCAACCGTCCCCTCCTTTGCCAGCAGAGTCTTTCTACGTGGAGAACTCATTAACCTTTTCCCAAAGGCTGCCACCCCAAGTCTCGCCCATTTAAAATGCAGGATTTCTAGGTGATGTGCAGTGCCCTTCAGCTGGCCTGGGTGAATCTTCTCGTGGCCTAAACTAAAAAAAACAACTTGCTTGCTCCCAGCAAGCCCATTATTCAAGAGTGTGGAAGGAACCAGACAGCCGGTGAGGACTTTCAAATTCAGAGTCCAAAGTGCCCAGCGCAGTCCAAGGCAGGCAACCAGAAACACCCACCTGAGCAAGGCCAGCAGCACTGCTCACCTGGGAGTGGAAGAAGGGCCCGGGCTGGCACACCTGTTCTTCTATCAGTCAGCAACTCCCTTATCCATTAATTCCCATCATCCTTCTATTGGCCTCTGGAAGGTTCTTTGTTATCCCTCCCCCCGCCCCCGGCTCATCTGGGGTGGAATTGGGGAAGATGAGCATCCTTTTGGACTCACGAGATCTTTCAGGAGTTTCATTTACCACCCCAAGTTGCTACAAATCAAGATGGAAAATCGTTTGGTCACCTATTTTCTTCCCAGAGCTAATACACGTGGCATGTCTTCTATGGAGAGGATCCGTGGCGGAACATCTGTTTGGACATAAGGTGTTGAGCATGTCCCGCTACAGTCACCCCCCACACTCCAGCCACGGCGAACTCGTCTCTTTCCCCCAGACTCAGCATGGACCGGGGCTTTGAACATGCTGGTTCCACTGCAGGCGAGAAGTCCCCTCAGCCCTTCACTAGACTGTTCATCCTTAAGAGTTCCATGGGCCGGGCGCGGGGGCAGCGCACGCCTGTCATTCCAGCAACTCGGAGGCTGAGGCAGGAGGATCGAGAGTTCAAGGCCAGCCTCAGCAAATGAGTGAGATGCAAAGCAACCCAGTGAGACCCCCCTGTCTGTAGATAAAATGCAAAATAGGGCTGGGGATGGGGGTCGAGTGTCCCTGAATTCACCCAAAAAAAAAAAAAAAAAGAGTTCCATTAAAGTGAAACTTCAGTGAAGCCCTCTAGATGACCTTTGGTGACATTAATTGTCCTTGACCTACAGTCCCCCTACACAACACTTCCCAGCCCTCCTTGTTGTCTTAGGTGGGATTCTCCAGAGGCAGAATCTGAGGCAGGGATTCAGATGCATCCTGATTTATGGAGAAGTGAACTTCAGGGGAAGGGGGAGGGAGTATGGGATCCAGGATGAAAAAGAACAAGTGATTTTTTTTTTTTTATTGCTAGAAATGAACATTTTTAAGCACCACCCTTCTTAGAAACTCCGGGGGTAGAACCCAGTATCCTGGCATTTGACATGACTTTTCCATGATTCTAATGTACACTGTGGCTTAAGGACCACGGGGAAAGAAGACCAAGTCAATTAAGGATGTGACAAAGTTGAGTCTTAGACGGGTCCACTGTGATCCACTGTCTCTAACAGTTATCAGACATCCCAGGACAATAGGCGTCCTGGGTATAGCAGGATAATAGCAGAAACTTCTCAGCACTGCAACAGTAGGATAGCAGCAAAAAACGTTTCTACCTCTGTAACATTTTAGTGCACAAAGAAGCCTCTGACTGCTCACAAACCTTGAACAATGTGCAATGGTCCTATAGTTTAAATTCCTGATTATGAGACCCTGTATAATCAACCTGCAGAACTAGTTCTGAGTCACTGTTCTTCCATCAGAGTGCAGTGTCCTACCTGGCCCCAGCTTGACTGGATGATGTCTCTGTGTTTTTCTCCATCTCCAGTCACCCCTACTCAGGAATCCTTTGTTGACGCTGCATGGGTCATGGCAATCCACAAAGGACTCTGGAGCCTAAATTGCATCTTGGAGCCGTCTCTGCCCTGGACCCAATTCTGACTGGCTGCAGGCTGCCCTGGGGCATGGGAGACTGCAGTTCCTTAGCCAAGACAGAAACCATGAGCTGAGGGGCTGGGGATGTGGCTCAAGCGGTAGCGCGCTCGCCTAGCATGCGTGCTGCCCGGGTTCGATCCTCAGCAGCACCACATACCAACAAAGATGTTGTGTTCACCAAGAACTAAGAAAAACTAAATAAATGTTAAAAAAATTCTCTCTCTCTCTCTCTGTCCCCCTCTGTCTCTCACTCTCTCTTTAAAAAAAAAAAAAAAAAAAAAAAAAAAAGAAACCATGAGCTGAGATTAGTTCTCCCAAGAAGGGGCAATGGTGGGTTGGGTAGGGTTGGGAATAGAGGAAGGTAAACGCACCAACCTAGGAAAAGAAATCTGAGTAGGGCATCAAGAGCATCTTTTACCATTGTCCTTATTGGCCCACTGATCTGTGACCTCCCCATTACACCGAAAGTGCCAGGTGATCAAGGTCACTGTGTTTCTTGCTTGTTATCAACTCTCCAGGGCCTGTCGCAGGTGGGAAACTTAATCATTTATTTATGCAATTAACTGACTCAGCAAATGCTCATTGAATATCTATTAAATCCTGGGCAGTCGTCTTGGGTTTGGTAATTTAGACATGAACAAATCAAAAGCCCCTGAACTTCTCAGGGAGTTGAAAATAAATGCAAAAATATATACGCATACGTCTCCATGTATGCACACATATCCACGATACGCAGTCAGGAAATGATAAATATCATGAGGGAGAACAGAGTGGGAGGATGGGGGAAGGACATTTCAGACAGTGGGGGGTGATATTTTAGACACAGCAATGAAAGGAGGATTCTCTGAGAAGGTGACATGTAAGTTGAATGAAGTGAGGGATCAAAATGTGAGGATATCTTCTAACGGCAAAAATTTCTATGTCAATTCAAAATCATTCCAAAATTTAAAAAAAAATTAATTAAAAGGATATCTCAGGGAAGAGCATTCCAGGCACAAGGAAGAAATGGATGAGTCACAGGAAACACCTGGAATTTTTGTATTGATAAAGCAGAAGGTGGCTGAGAGACATGGACGGTTGACCTGCGGCTTACTATGAACATTTTTGTTTTAATTAACTTTAAACATTTATCAAAGTGTACATGCACAAGATTAGAAATCAAACAGGATAGAAAAGACTAATGAAAAACAGATATCCTGGCCCCACCTGGTCCTTTTCCCCGAGAGCCATCAAGAGTCATGATTTCTGTCTAAGTTTAGCTTACGCCAATCTCTCCTCTTCTCCAAATATAGTCGTGGGATATTTTTGGTTCCTTTTGTGATTTTCAATAAAATACCCAAGTTCGAGATACCCTCTCATCAGCCAGAGACCTATATCCTTGTGTGTCTCTTTGTCATATAAGGATATTGCAGGTCACCGTCCTTCCCCAACTCACCAGGGCTGGTCCCAGCGGCCATGCTGTGCTGGTCACCCGTCATCTTGAGCCTCACCCCTGACTGGAAATGCTCCACACACAGGCCGGGCCAATCAGATGGTCTCTTCTGGAAACTTGGACCGGAAACGAAAACTTCTCGTTTTTTAGTCGGGTTAGGTTCCTTGAATAGAAATGACACCAAGACTCAACATCTCGCTCCCATCTTGAAGATCAAAGAGTAGAGAAGGCAAAACAATTTCTTCCAACTAAAAAATACGAAAAGAGAAGATGAAAAATGGAACAACTGTCAAAGCTCCTGATGGCTTTTTCTTTCCTAATTCTAGTTCTTTGTCCTGGCCCCACGGATCCTTAAAATGTTTGCCACATCCTTCTACCAAATCCCCCATTTTCTCAAGCTAGTGCCAGCGAGTGTCTGCAGTTTACAGACAAAAATGTTCTCACTAGTACAAACCCCTCACTACATAATTGGCCTCTGGGGGAATGAGGATTATATCTTTGTTCCAAAGTACGGAGCAGATTGTCTTGCACTTAGTAGGGACACAAGAAGCACGACTGAATTGAATGACTTGTGTGTGCTCCTTAAATAACAGAGCCACTCTCTTTCTTTTTATGCTTTTATTAGTGCATTATAGTTATCCACAACAGTTGAGTTCATTTTGACGTAATCACATATGCAAGGAATTTGATCTACTGCATTTCAGGACTGGTACCCCACCTCCTGCCCCTCCATTCCCTCCCCTCCCCCTTCCCTCTATTCCCATTTATTTATTTATCTTTAAATAAAAATAATTTATATATATATTTTAAATATATATACAAATATATATAATTTAAATAAAGATAATTTATCTTTAATAAAGATAAATGCATTTATTTACTTATCTTTAACTGATGATTTATAGATATACATAAAGGTGGAATTAACCACTCTCACGGGGAACTCACTTTTCCAGAGGTGAGTGAGTGATATAAAAGGATGAGCAGGAAAAAAAAAAACCACAAATAAATACGCTGTGCCAGCTACTCACTAGCTAAGAGTCAAATGGGAGGAAAAAATGTCTTAAGAGAATCACACCTGAGTTTCAAGCTGTCTGAATGCTCTGCCAGACTCTTGCCAGATAAGTAGAATCAGAAAGGGTCATCAGCCAACACAGTAGCTCCTTGGCTTTGAGGGAGGGCTCTGGGAATCTCTGGGGGCCCTGATTGATCTGGCGAACGAGCCCTCTAGTGGTGAGAAGGGGAAATTGCACCTAGGCTTAGAAACAGATTTCTACGCACCGCACCGTGTACACACCTACACGTTCTATTGAATGAAAGGATGAGGTCACCCCCTAGTAAGTGGGGAGGAATTATCAGGAACTAACTGGCGGTCTCCCTGCCTCCGCACTCCCACTCCAGTCAGGTGTTCTGACTTGCTCCATATGCAGGATCAGGACTTCCCACACTCTGTGATCAGCTGCTGCTCTGGACAAGAGTTACAGAGGATGCTCTTGCCTCCCTAAGGCAAAAGCTCAGCATACCTCGCCATTCTTGCAACTCTCTTGCGTCCCTTTTCTCCACGTTGTGACTGTGATTGTTACCTTCATCTACCTGGGTTCCTGACCCCTTCTTCCCACCAGCCTACCTGGATACTCGATTCTTCTGCAGAACAACTTCTTGGCCACCACACCTGGATGTCTGGGCTTCTAGTACAATCCGAGGGGTGGAGATGGATCTGCTCTTCTTTTACCGCAGATCTGGTGAATGGAGAGATTGGCACACTCTCCCCAAGGCCCCTTGACTTTCTGTCAACGTGGTCCTACTTTAATAGAATACCTTTCTTGCCCCATACTGGAGTAATGCAAGAATAAAATGTCTTGGGGTGACTGTTGGTCAGTATGAATTATTTCATATTGCTTAAGTTTCTGAGAGTGGGAAAGGAAAATTCACTAATTTAATAACTTCCACCAGAAAAGAACAATTTTACCTCCCTGTTATACATGGCCTTTTCCTTAAAAAAAAAAAAACTAATAATAACCAAGGCAGGATATTTTATGGAGAAGAGAATTTTCATTAGAGGAAAAAGAAACAGCACTAAGTTACTGGTAGGAGGCTTGGTACAACGTACTCCATGATCTGCTGGGGTACGGCTACATGTGATCCTGGCCCCAAGTTATATGTTGCAATTCTTTTGTTTATGCAGCAAATTTTCATGATACATTCACATGAAACCAAGTACATACGTGTAAAAAGCTACACATTCCAATCCATGCAGCATGCTCACTGCTGCATGTTTATATCAGATATGAGCCCATGGGCCATGACACTGCTGCATACACACAGGTTTTGCAACAAATCTCCAGGCATTCAGAACTCGAAGCAAAGTTGAACACAGCACAGGTAAACATTCAAATGCAAATCATACCATAATGGCGTATTCAAATCAATGCATGCACATACATGTATATCTAACACCACGAATGAAGTCTTCAAATGACCTTAACACCAAATAAAAACAGCAAAATCATGGAGAAGTTGGGAGTGGCTTTTGAGAGCCCTCTGATACATGCTGCTGCTCAATCAATGGAATAGTAGTTTTCAGACAGCCAGAGATGGCAGCGTGGCAGTATCTTGTCAGTGATTATCTCCTATTACATTTTTGTCCAGTAAAATAACACTTAACTGTGACAGCTAGTTGTGGACACATCTCAGGGACAGCAGAAGCAACTCAAGCAGCCTCGATTGCAAACACTCAACCTTTGATTGTATCAGTCATATAATAGCACAAGGAAAAAAAAAAACATAAGAGCTAGTCTGTAGAATGTCTTCAGTCAACTAACTCCGTGGGTGCTCATGTGTGTGCTGGAAGACATGGTGCTGGCTGGCTCAGGGCTGATCCTTTGAAACATGGTCTTTTTCCAAAGGAGAGAGCTTTCAGGTATCCAAAGGCATTTGTACTTTGGACTAACAAGGAAAGCAGCTCAGACTTCACCTGTTTTGTGGTCTGCCTTCGACATGGATGTTAACAAATGAACATCACAGGGCGCTCTGGAAAGAATCTGACATTTTCAATGGCTCTGGCACCTTGGATTCATGACCCCCTCAAATGTAAAGGTGTTAACCTATGTAAGAGGTTTATGCAGAAACCCAAATCTCACATCCCATCACTCAAGGTCCCTGATATGTGAACAACAGAACATGTGCACTTAGTTCCTTTGGTCCTTTTAGGAGTACATGTTCATATTTATCTAAAGAGTTTCCTGGTCTGATCTGAGCACGTTATCTCCCGTGTAAACCAGAGCTCCAGAGAAAGGAGGGTAGACATATTGGTTTGTTTTCTGGGGAACCAAATTGAGACAGACTATACACAGATGCGCCTGTGCCAACACTTTTGCCGGCCCAAGTGAGCCACAGAACCGTCACCCAGACCCGTCGGTCCCTTTAAGAAGGCTAGGTCTCTCTGATCTTCTCTGTCCCCAGTGGGTTTCCAGCAGCTCCCGCAGCAAAAAAGCAAACTTGCCTGGCTCCCTGGGCCCGGGGCGGGGGAGGGGAGTTGATTGGCGACTGCTGGTGGGCGCGGAGAGAGCGCCAGAGTGCGCTGCGGGCTGCTTCCCCTTCCCCTCTCCTTAACCCTTGGCGGAGCGGAGGACGAGGATCGTGCCGCAGCGCCAAGAAGCCAGGGCGCTGACTGCCCTGGGCTCGCGAAACTTTGCCAGAGCGTGGGCTGGACCAGAAGGAGCCGAGCCGGCTGCCTGGCCGGGGAAAGGTGCCCGGGGAGCGACCCTGGTACATCCCGGGTCCCTGGCCCAGGCGCGATCCAGGCAGGGGTGCAGCTGCAGGAGGGAGCTGTCCGTTCAGCACCACGGACCAGCCACCCCGGGCGGGAGGAGCCGGAGGCCGGGCAACAGGCGGGGAGCTGTCCCTTCAGCACCACGGACCTTTGCCCTCCCTGGAAACCAGGCGGCCCCCGCCCAGGACTCTGCCTTTTTTCCCAGTTTGCTCGGGGGTGTGGGAGCAGGCGGAGAGCTTTCCTGGGAGGCTGGGGAAGCAGTGAACACTCTTCTCAGCGATCGCCTCCCAGCAGTGCTATTTTTTGCCATCCGC